GTAGTTTGAAAAAATTTCGGAAACGCTTGTCTTATTTTTGAAGTAATTAGAAAGAATTTTGTGGGTCCCATGCGTCTTGTTTTCGAAGCAGTTTGAAAGAATCTCGGGGACCTTTTTTGCTTTGTTTTTGAAGCAGTTTGAAAGAAATTTCGGAATCCTTGTGGTTTTTGAAGTAATTTGGAAGAATCTCCTGGATTTCTTTAGTTTTTAAAGTACTCTGAAACAATCTCAGGGACCTCTTGTGCGTGATTTTTGAAGTAATTAGAAAGAATCTTGTGGACTTCAATTGTCTTGTTTTTGAAGTAGTTTGAAAGAATCTCGAGGACATCTTTTGTTTTGTTTTTGAAGTAGTTTGAAAGAAACTTGGGGATCCTTTGTCTTGTCTTAGAAGTAATTTGAAACAATCTCGGGGACCCCCTGGTTTTTTGTTTACGAAGTAGTTTGAAAGAATTTCATTCAGAGACGTTTGTCTTGTTTTTGAAGTAGTTTGAAATAATCTCAGGAACCTCTTTTGCTTTGTTTTAGAAGTAGTTTGAAAGAAATTTGAGAATACCTTTTCGTTTTTGAAGTAATTTCAAAGAATCTCGGGGATTCGTTTTGTTTTTAAAGTAGTTTGAAAGAATCCCAGTGACTCCTTGTACATGGTTTTTGAAGTAGTTTGGAAGAATCCCAGTGACTTCTTGTACATGGTTTTTGAAGTAGTTTGGAAGAATTTCGGGGACACCTTTCGTTTTGTTTTTGAAGTACATAGTTTGAAATAAACTTAGGAATCCCTTGTCGTGTTTTAGAAGTAGTTTGAAAGAATTTCGGAGACGATTGTCTTGTTTTTGAAGTAATTCGAAGGAATCTTGTGGATCCCATGTGTCTTGTTTTTAAAGCAGTTTGAAAGAATCTCGGAGACACCTTTCGTTTTGTTTTTGAAGTAGTTTGAAAAAAACTTGGCGATCCCTTGTCTTGTTTTATAAGTAATTTGAAAGAATCTCGTGGACTTCTTTAGTTTTTGAAGTTGTTCGAAATAATCTCAGGGACCTCTTGTGCGTGGTTTTTGAAGTAGTTTGAAAGAATCTCTGGAATACCTTTCGTTTTGTTTTTGAAGTAGTTTGAAAAAAACTTGGCTATCCCTTGTCTTGTTTTAGAAGTAATTTGAAAAAATCTCGAGGACCCCTAGTGTTTTGTTTGTGAAGTAGTTTGAAAGAGTTTCAGAGACGCTTGTCTTGTTTTTGAAGTGGGTTGAAAGAATCTCGGAAACCGCTTTTGCTTTGTTTTTGAAGTAGTTTGAAACAAATTTTGAGAATTCCTTGTGGTTTTTGGTGTAATTTGAAAGAATTTCGGGTACTCATTTTGTTTTTGAACTATTTTGAAAGAATCTCAGGGATTCCTTGTGCGTGGTGTTTGAAGTAGTTTGGAAGAATTTCCGGGATCCCTTTCGCTTTGTTTTTGAAGTAATTTGAAAGAAACTGGGGGATCCCTTGTCTTCTTTTTCAAGTAACTTGAAATAATCTAATCTTTTGATTTGTTTTTAAAGTAGTTTAAAAGAATTTCGGAGATCCGTTGTCTTGTTTTTAAAGTAATTAGAAAGAATCTTCACATACCGGTCTTTCTGGAAAATTCTCGGTTTTCAGATGGTCTCATCCGCCTTTGTCCTTAGTTCACATTCCGGAAGTAAAAATAGGAAGGATTATGAAATCACGTATTCCAAAAAAAATAGATTTTTCCAAATTTTGAGATGACATCATCAAGTATTTGAAACGGATGAGGAAATAAATTCTAATTAGCCATAAGGTTAAAGCATGTACAAAATTTCATACGATTCGTTTTTGTAGTTTCTAAAATTAATTTTCAATTTTTTCCCAAAAATCTAGAAGCGTGGTGTTCAAAATAAGAGCGGTTTTGTTATTCACAAATTATTTTTAAGATTTTTTACTTGGTTATCTAGTAAAATTTTAATATGACTTCATCAAATTTTTAATGCAGATAAGCATACAAATTTTGCCATTTTACAGTCTACAGGACATTTTTAAAATATATAATAATATAAAATTTTGCATCACTCTCTAGAAGTTTTGGAGATTACTTGTATAATAACATCATCAACAGTCAACGGACATATGATACACGACAAATGACAGATGAAAATGGGAGAGCTATTTTTTGATATTATAAAAGCTGTGAAACGTCGACAAAAATAAAATTACCAATTCATCAAATAGAAGTAATTATACAGTACCAATTAATTTAATTTTGGTACATTTTCAGATTTTCTACAAAAAACATTTTATTACTTCCCGAGCGGAAGCAAAGGAAGTATTGTAAACGAGTCCGTCGGCCGACTCTCTACTTTTACGTTTTCTCGATCTTTCATGACCCCTAGAAGATGAAGAAATAGGTCTCCCGTTTCCGTCTGTCTGTCCGTCTGTCCGTCTGTCCGTCTGTCTGCCGTCCCGGATTTTTATGTGACAGATAATCTCCGAAAGTACTGGGCCGATTGTTGTCAAATTTTGTATTTGTATTAGTAATATCATGTACATAGATGGTAAAACGCTAAAATTTGTCTAATCATCCCTACCACTAATGTGATGACGTCACTTCAAAATTGTACATAGTAATTGGGTTTTAAATTATATCAAATATCATAGTCTTACACATGTAGTTTATGACTCCGGATTGAGATTTTACCCAAAACGTCCAGATTTTTGGAAAAAAAATCAAAATTAGGAAACAACATTTTGACATTTAATTTGGAATCTACAAAACCTAATGCTTTGAAATCTTCCCTTCAAAAAAATTGATGACGTCACCCCAAACTTTTGCTAAATAAATTCTATCTAAAATCTACAAAATATGATGAGTCTCTTCTTGTAACTTATCATTCCATTAATATTTTTTGGATTTGGATATACAGAGTGACTCAAAAAATTTAATGAATCCGCATATTTATTTTATTGATTTAATCAGGAACTACAAAACCGAATGCTTTGAAATCGTGTAAATGTTTTAAATTTATCACAAGCATGGTAAATTTTTGATCAAAATATATTTTCTCATCCCCTCTAAAAAATGGACGACGCCACCCCAAAATGTTGTTGAATAAATCCTATCTAAAATGTAGAAAATATGATGAGTCCCTTCCTGTGATTTATCATTCCATTCATATTTTTTGGATTTGCATATACCTGTATATGCAAATGATGAGTCTCTTCTTGTAATTTATCATCCCATTCATATTTTTTGGCTTTGAATATACAGGATGACTCAAAAAATTTAATGAATGCGCAAATTTATTTTATTGATTTAATCAAGAACTACAAAACGATTTGAAATCTAATGCAAAAAAAACATAATAGGCATGCAGTCGTCACGTTTCCGACAACGAGGGAAGTACTGTCTAAACTCTTTAGACCATTTTTTTTCTTTAATCGTGAAAGCATTGGTAAAGCTAATATACAACAATCCAGATATAAAAACCTTTGTATTTAAAATAGTTTATAAAAGCAGAAATGATAAATATCATATTAAAATAAAAAAACAAAACACTGTTTGGCCTTCACCCTAAGCTGCTCGAGAATTTACGTAAGACTCACTATTAGATTAAACTAGCCCAAAAACCATTTTTCCCAAAAAAAAGTCTTGAACTATTCTACTTATTTAATATATTCACCTCCATGTTCAGTTCTCATGCTTAAGGTTCATGTTTTCTCGACCTTTCATAACCCCGGAAGTATGAAAAAATAGGTCTCCCGTTTACGTATATCTAGCATCTATGTCGATTTTTATTACACAGATAATCTCCGACAGTGCCGGAGAGATTATCAAATTTTATGTGTAAATATACATAGGAATATTGGGTAGTCTAAAAAACTAATCAAATTTGTCAAATCGCCTCCATCAAAAATTTAAACACGTCACTTCAAAATTTTGCGCGGTAAATAATATTTAAATTTTATAAAATAATATGATCTTCTACTTGGGGTTTATGAATCTGCCTTGAGTTTCACCTAAACATTCAAATTTTCTAAAAAAAAATCAAAATTTTACAACAGCAATTTATACTAATATTAATATAAGAGGAGCGTCCAGTAAGCGATCGATGGGTCAGATGGTAAGGCGCGTGCTAATAACGGGAAGGTCTTTAGTTCGATCATCTCATGCACCACTTTTTTTCTTACACTGTGACTGGTATTATCTATTGTCCACTGGTAAACAAAGTAAACAAAATTTGTTTATTTAATTGTTTAGTTACTACTACAACAGAAATTACATATATTTATTAACCTCCTCCGAAACAAGGTATATTAAAAATATTGTTCAATTTGTGGTATTACTCGCAAATCTTACATAAAATATATATTTTCGTAGGTACTCAAAAATTATAACAGTTTATTTCTCTGTGTTTTTATTAAACAAGAGCTTCTATTTTGACGTCAAAGTTAATCTTTAATTAATGTCATAAGTAATGAAAGCTAACAAAACACATGATGCAACAATCCTCTGTAACGTAATACATGCGATCGATTGGAAACTATAGGTTTTACTTATAATGACATAGCATCACAATTCACCCTAATATATTATTGCAGAGTTACGTCATGATACTATTCAGACCATTCAGTCAACAGTGTAAAAGCTCATTTTGTGTGGAAAATTTTGGGGTGCTGTTGCCAACACGTGCACAGCCCCGATTTCCAGAATAGTTAGTACATTGTAAATACACAAATCCTTCACAATTCATGTTAATAAAATTATTATTTTTGCATATCTAGTCATATTAAAAATTCATTTTATTTGTTAAAATTGCATTATAAGTAGTAATTTGGACTTCATTCTAATCTAAGCCATCAATAGTGCTAATCTAATAATTTTAACAAGTTTTATATCATGTGCTTAGATGTAGACGAGATTTACTGATGTCATTGATAAAAATTAAAAACATTGGCGAACCTACGGCAGACCCTTGATTTGTACAATTTGCTCAGTGGGAGCAATTTTTCTTGTTACTGTACCTGAGTGTTAGCCGTTGTCGAATTCGTGTGCACCAAGGACGTTCCGGAAAGCCACTTCTTGGGCAAAGCCAGCAGGGAGTCGCGCCATCCTGCAACAAATGAAGAAAAATGAAAACCGCAGACCTCGTCTCATATAGCACCCCATTCCGCGGCATTAAGAGGGTAATTAATGAAGTTCCAGGCATTCCTTCGCATTCATAACATCGCTGTGGCTGGAGCCACTTATAATCGCGTTAATCCTGCGGGGTGCGTTTAATTGCTGTTAACTGCCATCCTTGGTCCTGATTTATAGTCGCGTTAAGCTTTGACGTTTATTGGGATGAGCTTGTCCTTTCGATGTTTACCCAGCCTAATAATCTTGTTATAAATACGGGTGTCAGCTGCGTCCTCGTCACAACCCCTACTAAAGTTTAAAGTGTAACGATTTATTTTGTGAACCTTGCCATTTTCGTGCCTAAAGGTCGCGTGGATTTGGGAGGAGGAATGCAAATCGCGGATCGATGGAAATGCGAAAATAGAGGTGGAAATGTGGCGAGCAGTGACAATAAAGTAACCTGACAAAGCAATCAAGCGAGGACGGCTGGATGGGGAGGACACCCCAAATAGGAACGGGAGATTAGCTAGATACATCACGGAGACCCGGCTTTCTTCTTGGGCGAGAGGGCTTGATTGGATCTGGGCGATTTTTCGCGGCGTGGCAGTTTTTACGAGGACGAAGAACGAATTGATTTCTGGCGATTAAGGAGAGCCGGAGCATTAAAACGTTTAAAGGAAAGTTTTTGTAGTAAATTGTAACGTTCGTTCAAAAAAAAAGTCAAGTGGAGATTACAGTCAGCCGGTCCTAGATTTACAGGGGTTGTGCTAAATTTTCTCCTAAGGTGCAAGTTGAGTCGATAAAAACAGGCAAATATTTTACGCAACATTTAATTCCGTTACAAGGAACATGAAATTCGTTTTGGATGGTAGCTTTGCACGATATGTATATACTTAGAAACGATACAGACGTTGATTTCGACTCAATGCAAATTTATTTTATATAGCAAGGGTTTTGAACATAATTTTCATGTCAATATAACTGTCAGTTAAATTTGGCAACTGTAATTAGAGGATTTTTAAAAACAAGATAAACTGTTCATTGTTAAAATTGATAGTCGCTTGTTGTGACAAGTTATAATTGTTCCGATTAATGTTAAAACACCAACTATAACTTTAGTTATGCTGCACGCCTAAATATAAACAGTGACAGTAAATCAATAAAACTTGTTTTTCAGTACACCCTTTTTAAAAACAAAAAGAGTTATGAATGAAACATGAATATGAATATGGAAAATTGTGAATGAAAAAAATAGAGTAGTTGTGGTAACCGAGACCCTAGGTTTAGAGTAGGTGAATTTTAAGTAACCACATTTTACTTGAATAGGCCCAGGCAACATGGAAAATAAACACTGCCTTGGCAGTTAGCGTGCAAAGTTGACATTATTTCTGGTGATCAATTTCAACTGACACTTTGGGCATCGTTCCAGAGATAACACTTGCAAAATGCTTTACCATTCTTTAAAAGCTTCAGTTTTAACTTACAATCATTACAAAAAAAAATGATTACGCTTTCAGGACATAATTTTGTCAGTTCCTGCTGTTTCCTGTGAACCTTGTTGTGAACAATGAAGAAAATTGTCTATGTAAATTTCGAAAGGTGTTGATCTCCAACCTGCAGCCGAAGAACGTCTAAAAGAGTGCTCCTTGTATACAGTAGGATGTAGCATATTTAAATGTTAAACAAGTATCGTTATTTTTTCTAATAGTCACTGCTAAATTATATGATCAGTTTTAGCGACAACCAAAATGTATTCAGCAATTTTGTACATCCATTTAAGTTACAATTTAATGAGCTCATCTCATTTTGACTGTCTTTTTATAGACAATCAATGTTTTACATTGGTTTATGACCAAACAGTTGATACAATACAAGGTTAGTTATGTACCAGGCAAATTCAAAGTTTTTGATTGTAGGTAAAATAAACAGGTCAAATAATTTTTCAAAAATTTTAGTTTTTTTTTCTCTTTTACAGAACAGACTTCTTTCCGAACATGTGAACGCGTGGAATCATTTGTCATCTACATTTTTCTTGCAGTTTTTAGGACAGACCGTGAAGAAAGTATAGTAAAAAAAAGTAAAAAAAGCAATAATTTTACAAGAGCAGAAAAAATCGCAGCTAAAAACACATCGGGTAAATGGTTACTTTCATATATTCTCGACGTTTCGTGACCCATGGAGAATGATAAAAATAGCTATTCTCTTTCCACTCGTCTATCTGTCCTCTTTTGTCTGTCATTTGCTCGTTATTTGTGTGGATTTTTATTGTCTCCGAAGCTACAAATTTGATTCCCGTTATATTTTATGCAGACCATAAATTGTCTAATCTCCCCCAACAACAATTTAATGATGTCATCTCAATATTTTGCTTCGTAAATGCCAATGAAATTTTGTCAAAGAACATATTTCTGCACTTGTGGTTTATGAATCCGCCTCGAGTTTTTACTCTAAGCATCCGGATTGACGAAACTGTAAAAACTGCTATATTTTAATTAGCGATTTGGGAAAAACTGCAGAAATTTCCGAAGAAACGAAGCCAAAAATGACTCCTGGATAACGAACAAGAAAATGTTCAATTAATTTTCGGAAATAGTTGGAAAATGGTCTAAAATGTTAAAAGTACCAAATCAGTCTTATCTTATCAAATACTAGCTCCGCTCACCCACCCTTTATTATCTTAGAGGATATGTCATTTGCCTAAATCATTCTTATCTTACCAAGTACTAGCTCCGCCCACCCACCCTCTATTTTCTTGGAAGGTTTGTCATCTGCCAAAATCAGTCTTATCCTAGCAAGTACTAGCTCCTCCCACCCGCTAGTACTTGCTAAGATAAGATTGATTTTGGCAAATGACATACCCCATAAGAAAATAGAGGGTGGGCGGGCAGGGCTATTATTTGATAAGATAAGACTAATTTTGGCACTTTTGACATTTTCGATCGTTTTTTAAACCAGAAGTCACTTTCGGCTTCGTTTCTTCGAAAATTCCTACCGCTTTTCGAAAATCGCCAATTGGAATACAGCTATCTTTAAAATAACTCGCTATAAAAATTTTGTAGACAAATAAGAAAATTATTCTTAATTTTTGTTTCACAAAATACAATTATTTCAAGATGGTACTTTGTAGTTGTTATATATTTACAGAAATGTTTAAAATTTGTTTATTTGGGCCAATAGAGAAGTTAGAACAGGTCAGGTGCATGAACTAAGAAATAAATTTTATAGAAAATACATAATATGACAAAAAAAGTTACGATTAGCGCTTTTTTTTACTTTTTTCACATCGGAGGTTCTATTATTAGTTTCCACTCCCACTGGACAGAAGATCAAAATTTTATACCTGGGTAAGAGCAACCCAAATGGTGTGGTTGAACGGCGTAGTTTTTTTTTTTCTTATACTAGTATTATCTATATTTTTTTTAACTTATAGGGGATATAAAATAAATCAAATTTCGCAAAATCAAGATTTATAAATTTTCGAAGAAGCTGGATTTGTTGAGTTAGTCCGGTCAAAATAGACATTTCAAATAACAAAAACTCCGACAGACCTGAATTTTGGTAGAAACCTTGGGTAGGCCAGTAGAAATAAAGTGGAAAAAGTCCCCATAGATCCCATGTGTGCTAAAAAAGTTATTCAAGGTCAAAGGTCAAAATTTTTGGTTTTTTGAACTTTTCTCGACAACAGTAAATTTTATCAAAAATATAGCTTAAACAAAAATTGTAGATCATAAAATTACCTACAAAAATTATTGTACACTTTTTTCCTAAGAATCACCACTCCCAAGATATCGCCGATATATCATGTAGAATGTAACTCCTTCAACTTTTAGAATGGCGATATCTTAGGAATGGTGATTTTTGGGAAAAAAAGTATAAGGACCATTTATGTAGATAATTTTATGCTCTATAATTTTTGTCTGAGCTATATTTTTAGTAAAACGTACCGTTTTCGAGAAAAATCCAAAAAAACAAAAATTTTGACCTTTGACCTTGAATAACTTTTTTAGCACACATGGGATCTGTGGGGACTTTTGGCATTTTATTTCTACTGGTGTACCCAAGGTCTCTACCAAAATTCAGCTCTGTCGGAGTTTTTGTTGTTTGATCACTATTTTTATGTCTATTTTGACCGGACTAAATGTTAGACCAATTTTTTGTAAAGCGTAAAAGTGTTCTATCTTTGCAGTTTCGGTATTATGTTGTTTAGAGTGGATAGCAAAAACATTTTGAGACAAGCATTATGTGATATATCACTTAATCGTATACTTAATTGGATCCAAAGTAAAAAATATACAGGGTGATAAATGCGTAAAATTTGGGGAGCATCTTTCTAACGAGAAATTAAGACGAATAATTCATAATAACATGTTTACAAAATGCCTAGTTTTAAAGTTACTGCATGTTTCATATTAGTAAATGAAGACTTTTTACAGAAATTATAATAAAAAAATGTATAACAAACGGAAAAAAACGAAAATAGCAAAAAAGACACATTTTAACTGAAGAAGAAAAGAATAATTCGTGGGGAGCTACACTGGAATTGGAAATCGTTTGATCCAGATTTCAGAAAAGTTGTATGAAAAAAATATATAACTCAATTTCCATTAACTTTAAGCATTTTTTACTTCCTGAGTGTACGCTAAGAAATTACTGTATTAAAGTCCATGTGGAGAATGACTACGTTTATGCTATCACGTTCTATGATTTCTAGAGTATGAAAAAATAGGTCTCCCGTATCTATCTGTTATTTAAATTTTATAAAATAATATAGTCCTGTACTTGTGGTTAATGAATTCGCCTTGATTTTGTTGGTAATTATTAGATGGCGGATTTTAGGCTGTAACAATTCAAGAAAAAAGTAAGCCAAAAAAGAGAAAATAGGCATTTTAGGCAATAATGTTTTATTAATAAAATTAACTATGCTATTTGTCTTTATATATTTACTAAGCATACTGTAAGGAAATATTTTCATAGGCTACATCCGGCGAATGGCTA